CCCATGGTTCATCGGCCGTTACGTGAGAGCGATAAAGTAAGTCATAGAAATCCGTGCGATAAAGATGGCTATAATGAAGGCGTCTAATAGTCACCGCCCATTTCGCCCTTCCACAAATAAGATCCACTTCTTTCATTCATTTCATTTCTATGACTTTCTTTATCGCTCTCACGTAACGGCCGATGAACCATGGGGACTTTCCGACCCTGTAGATGTTTATTTATCAAAAAGTTAAAAGTACCTATTTTGATAAATATTTTAAATAATCCATGTTTACTTACTTGTCAGTTGTATATTCCAGGTCTTCTTCTATTAATTCCAATAAACGAAGAACTGTTTCTTTATAGAGTCGGAACCTCTTAAAGAACGTGAAATCATCTAAATTTTCGGAAGGGCATGATCGTACATACAATTTTCGGGGAAAACCATAATCAATAATCTCTAATATATCTAAATCGTCTTCAAAAATATTCATGTCCATGTTTATTTCAAAATCAAGATGAGCGAAGATGAGGTTAGGTTATTGCACTTATATTTAAGTTTTCTTTAAGCCTGGAAAAACGCGGGCTTAGCTAAGCAGAATTTAAGAAAATGATAAGCCTTGTTTAAAACACGGTACAACTGAAATTTTATTTTTAAGTGCGACTTAAGCTTAAGCTCTTCTTAAAATTGTCGGTGCAAACGGGCATATAACACTATTTTTATTTTTATTAATATAAATCATTTCCTGAATTAGTCTTGTATTGTAATTAGGTTCTTTGACTAAAATTTTAGTTTGATTAAAATTAAAAGAATGTTTTTTTCCTTCATATGTTTATTAAGAGCAGTAGAACAGTTTTTTGTATATTTGTGGCCTTTTAATCTGTTTTCTAAATTTTGTGAAGTCATACCTATATATTGACTATTGCAATCATTACATGGAATAGAATATACAACGTGAGAGTTTTTTAAAATAGGAGTTTTACTTTTTAAAGGTGTACCTAAATAATTTATTTAATTGGTTGAAAGATTTATGAGCAACAGAAATTTTATACTTGGATAAGATAACTTTAATTTTTTCAGATAAACATTGTATATATGGTAGTGCAACATACTGAATGTCCGTAGAATTTTGATCAGAACTTACAATATTTTTCTTTCTTGATTTATTANCGAAGTGGGGCGCAGAAGGAGGTATGAAATGCCATTCTATGGACTCAGAAGAAGCGGCATCGCGTGTTAAATTTATCAATTCTTTATTAGCTTTGACAAAACACGTACCATTATCACTGTATAAATGGCTTACACGTCCACGGCGTGCAATAAATCGACGTAAAGCGGCCAAAAATGCTTCTGCAGTTAAATCGGATACTAATTCGATATGAATGGCTTTAGTTGAGAAACATAAATAAGTACACATAGGCTTTATATGTTTTAGCACCGCGAGTTCTACTCAAAGTTAAATGAAAAAGTCCAGCATAATCAACACCGGAGTGCGAAAATAGCTTACTTGGCGAAACTCTAGGATTGGGCAAGTTACCCTTCAAAGGTTGAAACGGCTTAGGATTAACTTTAAAACATTTAATGCATTTAGACAAAACATGAAGTATAGCGCGCTTAGCGGATAAAACCCAAAAATTTTGAACAAGTAGAAATTGGACCATTTGAAGGCCAGCGTGAAAATATCTTAAGTGAATATTTTCAATAAATAAATAAGTTAATTTACTAGTACGAGGTAGGATGTTTTTTATCATAAATAAGTGCACAATAATGTAATCTCCCACCTACTCTTATAATTCCTTTATCATCCATGAATATATTTAATTTCTGTAAAGGTTTTGGAAGTTTTTTATTTTTAGCGATATTAGAACATTCTTCAGAAAAAACCTTTTGTTGTTCATGTTTAACTAAAATCATTAAAGCATTGTGAAGTTCCTTAAAAGAAAGAAAATCTTTGAACTTTTCTTTAAGAAAACGGTAGTTATTTATAAAGCGCAAAATATAAGCTAATATACGTTTAATAGCGTTTAAGGACGAATGATTACTGGGTAAACTATCTAAAAAATTATTTATCAACAGAAACCATGAGCACAGTATTTCTTTTTTCTTCCGACCGTACCTCGGAGGTGTTAACAAAATTATTTGTCAAATTAGGCCAATGTTCTTCTGATTTCTTCAGAAACTCGGGACCGGCCCACCATTGCGAATTGGATAAGAGCTCTGAGAGGGATGCCCCACGCGAGTCAATATCGGCAGGGTTTTGAGAAGATATTATATGATGCCAGTTTAACGGATCGACTCTTTCTTGAATATAGCTCACAAAAAGTTTCCATCGATGTGGATGACTCTTTATCCATGATAGAACTATGTTAGAGTGGATATATGAAAATATGTTCGAGAAAGAAATTTTATTGGCGTATGTATTTAAAACGAACTCAATTAATTCAGCGGATAAGACGGCGGCGCATAATTCTAATCGGGGAATAGTCAGCGTTTTCAATGGCGCTACTCTAGATTTAGAGCAAAGAAGATAAACTAAATAGGTATTATCAGTATAAGTGCGTAAGTATAGTACGGAGGCATAACCACGTTCACTAGCGTCNCTCTTGCGCATAAACAAATTATCGGAATTTAATCGGACTTGTCTTATTTTACAAATTTATTTAATACCTACCTTTTTTGCATAAACCTTTTTTCTCTATGAATAACAGTTTTTTTACGCGAGTCGAAAAACTACTTTTTCATAATTTTGACCATTGTTTTAACAAAGTTTCCCAACTAGTCTCGAGTTGATTTTTTGATATTTTATTTATAACACGTTTCGGAACAATATTCCGCAGAGAAACTTCAAATAGTATTCTTTGCCCGAAATAAAGCTATAATGACTGACCTATAAGTAAGAAACACAAGACATGAGTAAGTAAAAGATACATGATAAAAATAGTAGTTTATTTCTTTTAGTAAATAGGATTTCTAAAAAATTGAAATAAAAAAGCAAATGAGAACAAAGACTATTTAATAAAACACGAAAAATAAATAACAATAAAACACGAAGAAAATAATAGGTGTCTAAATGTATTTTATGGCAAATTAATTTTATAGCAAATTTTCAAAGTGGCCTCCCTCAACTTCGATACATTTTCTTACTCATTTACCCAAGTTTCCAATTGCTCGAAGTATCGATGGCAATCGAAATCGACGGATTATAATTTATTTTTTGTCATGTGTTTTTATCATGCGTATTTAAATAATCATCAAAGTGTAACAAGAAAAAGAGACATGTCGCTGAGATTACTTTTTTTATGTTCTTTTCGATAATCGTATGGGAATACCAAAAAAATATATACGGGGCGATGTTTTCTAAAGTTACAAAAAAAATAAAAATTTTGCAGTTCGGACCTGGAATACATATTATTTAAAGAAAAT